GTGAGACCCAAACGTCTCACTTTAATAAAGCTTTGTAGGTAGTAATTGTGCTGTTCTCTCTGGGTGGAGAATTGCTGAGGTAGGCCCTTACTGAAGCAGTCAGCTGTGGGTCTGATCAGCCAACGGGGCCATGAGCCTGGCTATTGAAAGAGGGCAAGGAAAGGTGGGAGGACCCTGAAACTGGTCAGCAGATTGGAGCCCCATGGGGGCCCTGTGATTAGATTCATCTGGGCAGCTGTGAAAAATTTAGAGGCCCAACTCCCTTGATATGCTCTCAGATTCAGTGGGTCAAGGGTACCTCCTGGCATGTGCAGTTGGAACAAGCCCTCCAGGTGTTTCCGGTCACAAGGGAGGACAGAGAAAGCCTGGCCTAGCCGAGTGTGGGCCACTGGAGACTGCAAAGCTCTGGTCCTAGATTCTGCTGCCTCTGGGTGCTGCTGAGATTCCTGTGCATCTCTGCCCCTGGAGACCTGAGCTCCTAGATGACCATTATTTTGGCATCTAGTATAGAGCAGATATTCAAGAAAAAGGGAGGGAAGGAGTGAATGAGAAAGTGAACCCCAGGCACTGAGCATTCCACCTCTCTGGGCCTCCGTTTTCTACAAAGTGAGGTCCTTGTATTCACCTTAAAATGAACTTAACTTTAAACTCTTTTCGGCTCCGAAATTCTATGACTGTATTTTTTTTTTAACTTTGTCTTCTTCTTATTTAATGCCTCAGTAAATAGATACCTGAGCTTATAATTATTGTGATTATTCAAGTGAAGCAAAAAACATTGTGGTGATGGGTTGTGATCTGCAGGAGTGCTTTAATGTCTCCTTACAGCACCAGAAAAAATACAATTTTAATTTTGGTTGACATTCAAAAATATTAAATGAGGTAGGCTTGTATTGAAGGTGAATCAAGGAGTCTGCAGACTTACAAATTGTCTGGATTCTATCTCTAATTTTCTTATTGGGTTGGAGTCTCAGAGGGGGAAAAAGTCTATTTGACTTTGTTGTTTGATTGATTTAAAAATTCTCTGGTTTATGTTTCTAAAACAGATGAAATTCTGGAGCTGGGGTTGTGGCTCAGTGGTAGAGCACTTGCCTGGTATGTGAGAGGCACTGGGTTCATTTTATTTAACAAATAAATGAAATAAAAATATTGTGTCCATTTACTAGATGTGATGGGAGGGGAGGGGAGGGCAAGGGGAGATAGGAAGGGCAGCAGAATAGAATAGACATTATGATTGCTGTATGTATATAGGTGACTGTATGACCAATATGATTCTGCAACCTGTACAATCAAAAAATGAGAAATTATACCCCATTTGATTCAAATGTAGGAAATGTCAAGATCATTGTACTGTCATGTGTAACTAGTAAAAAAATTTTTTAAAGGAGATAAAATTCCTAATAATCTGTTTTCCTTTGAAAATAAAAAAAAACCCCAAAAGCATCTTGTTTTATTTGGTTAAATAATATGTTGTGGGAACTTAGAGTTGAAATCTTTGCTCTTAAAAAAAAAAAACAGCATAGTGTATTTCAAAGTTGAGAAATGTTACTGGGAAATTCACACCACCTACAAAGTGCTTCCCCGTCTACATGCACATACATTTTCAAGAGTAGCTTCTGAAAATAGATACTTATGGAGCTGAAAAATAACTTTTCCTTCGGTTATTTTTTTTTAATAATATCATTTGTCTCTCCACCTTCATTTGTAAAGCTACAAATTAATGTTATCTACATTATACAAATAAAAAATTAAAGATTTTAGTTTATTTTCTAACTAACCTCAGTTATCTGAGGGCACATTACAGTTGAGTTTGACAAGCATTCTTGAATAATCTTGTTGCCATAAGTACTTTGAAAATTTAAAGTCCATTTCCTACTAGCACTGGACTCAGCCAATGTATAAGAGAAGGTTAAGGATTTTTATTTTGGAAATTACAGAAATAGAACAAAGAATCCATCCCAGAAGCATGATAAAATATTCCTTATATTTTAATTCTTTACACTATCTTATTATCATGATTAAAATTCTATCATACATAATCAAGAAATTTGTTTCATCCCCCAGAAATGGATGCAACATGTTTCCTACAGAAAATTTTAATTGTTCACTTGACCGTGAAGTGTGATATGTTGGTTAAATTGATTTGTAAATGAACTTGCCAGGCTCTTGTCAATGAATCTGCCACAACAAATACCATCTTAGCTGGCTTTCTGCTAAGTTGAAAAAGGAAAGTAACTTCATTACGGATTGATCAGAATGAGCGGGTTCATTTCTTTTATGCCACATGGGATTGGTTCCTTCCCAGTTGTTGCCTATTACATAAAGGCTGAGAATGAATTTGACAAAACCTCATAGAACATGTGCAGTAAAGAGCTGAGGAAGCAGATCTGCTCAGTGGGTGTTGAGAACCTGCATATTCCATAAAAAGGCCTAGAACTTGGTAAACTCTTGGGCATTTACTTCTAAGTCCTTGGAATATCCTGCCTGATAATAGTGTCTTTGTTTTCCTGGGGTTTTGAGCCACCACACAGAGTATATCTTCATGGTGGCATTTATGGTAGACCCTTGGGCAACATGGTATGGGTCTGATCTCTAGAGAGGCTAAAAACTGAAGAACTAAAGTAGCCATGTAGGGGCTCCATGACTGATCCATGCCATGCCTCCACGTGTGGATAAAAACCCTGGACATCAAGACTCAGGTGATCTTTCCTGGAATAAATAACTCATATATTTTTAAATTGTATGTCATCCTGAATAGTGTGATGAAACCTCATGCCAACCTGCTAGAGGGGTATAAATTACCCCCTTATCCAGCGTATCCACACTGTATATGCTACCCACCCATTAGTCATTTAGTAGCCATTCTGGTTATCAGATACACTGTTCTGAATCTGATAAAGACCACATTCACATAACTTTTATTTTAGTATGTTTTTATAGTAGTTCCATTCTATTGTAAGTTGTTGTTAATCTCTTAGTGTACCTAATTTATAGATTAAACTTCATCAAAGGTATGTTTTTATTAAAAAAAAAAGAGAAGGGTGAATAGGATTTGCTACCATCTGCCATTTCAGGTATCTACCAGGGGTCTTCAGATGTAAATAAAAAGAAAGAATAGGACTGGGAGAGGTAGGTGCTGTAGGATGATCAGGAAAGTTCCTGAGACCTGTAGGCAGCAAGGAGGATAGCCATGTAGATATTTCAGGGTAAAATAACTCATACAGAAGAGAGATCAAGTGGAAAGGGAACAGTGAGCCTAACATGTCCATAGAACAACAGTGAAGCCAGTGTGGCTGAAGGCAGTGAATGCAGAGGAGAGTTGCAAGGTCACTTTGATATTGGGAATGGCTCTCTAGGCCTTTGGAAGGACTTTGCTCTGAGTGAAGTGGGAAACTATCAGAGGTTTGAAACAGAGAAGAAAACTACACTCTGCCTTAAATTTACAGGAGTTACTTGTACAGCTGAGTTGAGCAAAGGCAGTAGGGGCAAGAGTGACAGCAGAGAGACTAGTGCAGTCTATTTATTGCCATACTTCTGGTGACCGATGATGGTCACTTGCACCAGTGTGGAAGTGGTAGAAGTGGAGGTCCAGGGAGGGAGATATTTTTGAAAATAGGACCAGCAGAATTGTTGAAGGACTAGACATGAAGGTGGAGAGAGAACCGGAGTAACTTCAGTGGGCTCCTCATGAATCATCTGAGGGCTAAAGTTTTCATTTATTGAGAGGAAGACTTTAGGAGAGAAGGTCAGGAGTTGGCTTTTCAACATGCCTTTTTTGAAATGATCAATAGGCTTTCAAATGGGTCTGCTGTGTGGGTACTTGGATGAAGAATCTCAAGTGCAGAGAAGAGTTCTAGATTGGAAATCAGACTTGGAAAAATATACTGGCAAAACCTACAGGAAGAAGATAGAAAATAGGAATATCCATTGTAAATGGTTTTGATTTAAAAATGGTAACTTTTTTTCTTTATGTTATGGTAAAGTGCTGCGTTCAGTTATCTGAAAAACTCTCATAGGGTGTAGTTTTTCCAAATACTGCTAAATGAGATATTATTAAATCCAGATCTCACACCTGTGTTTGTAAAAACCCTTGAAATTATTGGTTGATGGGAAGAGAGGCATTCTCTAATCTGGGAAATCTGAGATAGGAGGAACAAGTGTTCTAAGTGGACTCTTATACCCTGTCTGCCTTCTCCTCCCTACTCTCCTAATTGGCAGCAGTTTAAATCAGCCATCAAGCACAGATCCATATTGGTGTTACACAAGTCTCAGTTCACTGGACAGGTGTCCATCCATCTCCCTGCCCTCTTTTCCTTTCTCCATTTTTAATTTGTTTCAATTTGAAGAAACATCATTAAGTTTTCCAGCTTCCATGGCTAGAACTAGAGCAATGGGTAGCCAAACCAACGCTCACCTTCGATTTCCTCTGGGAACTTGGAGCAGGAAAATTTCCCATCAATCTGTCAATTGAATAAGTACACTTTAGAATGAGAAATTTGATAGATATAATTTAGGAGTGGGTCCTGAGCCTTCTCCTACCTACACACTGCTGAGATCTCACTGCAACGTGGGTGCTTCTCTTGGCTCTTCTACTTATCTGAATTACTACTAATGTCATTCCAATTTATGCAAAAACAAATACAACCTCACTAAATGTCATCTTTTATTTTGGCTTCCTCCCAATTCTCTCCACAGGCATGAGAACCATGAAGTTATGCACAAAGAGGAGGTTTGGTACCATAGGTGCTATCAGTGAGGGGCCTGGAAACTGTCCCCTGACCTGTGATCTGTTTGTACACAATTCACTGAGCCAGGGAAGGGCGGGGGGACTTCCTTTCTGGTATCAATGACAGGATGTGATCCATTGTTTCTTTTTGTTGTTATTTTGTTTCATTTCTGCACAGGATATTTGAACCAAAGAAAAAGTTCATGTCTGTGTGCTTATTTTTTTTTCACATCTGGGTCAAATAGTCTGATTGTGGTTTATATCTTGCTAATAAAAGGTCTTTGAACCCACTGTGCACTCCTAGTGTAAATGGCAGAGACAGCCACAGAATTTTACCTTCTCACTGGGAAATTATTTTCTCTCTGTGTGTTTTGATGGTGACAGGCTTTCTTCCAACTTGCAGTTCTTCCTCCTTGGGGGAATAGAAATGTAAGGAATAATTTCTGATTTGATATTTCCTGTTCTACTCACGTACCACTGCAGTTTAAAGACTATCTACCAAACTAGCTAACAACCCACTTTCAAAACTATACTTTGGGAAAACAGAAGGCCAAGGGGAAGAGAAGAAAAAGTCTCTTCAAAGAATACATTTGAGGATATACGTGAAGTATTTGGAAGAAGAGATGATTTGCTAATTCTACTGGGCACATAACATTGTATAAAGCTACATTGATGTGATCTGGGTAAGATAATTTTTTTTTTTTAATTTTTTTTATTGGTTGTTCAAAACATTGGGTAAGATAATTCTTAAGCTAAAATTCTATCATTATGCTGTATAAGGCAGTGTCATTGTAAGCGAAGATGTTTGCCTATCACACATAATTCAAAATAGTCTTGTTCATCACTAATTCTGGAAAAGAATGATGAGTACTTGTTTACTGGCTAAAATGACATAGCCATGGGAAAGCGATGTAAACATGCTCCAGAATTCACAGATTTATCAGCGTCCAAATAAAAATTCTCAATTTTTTTTTTAAACTCAGGGAATTAACATGATTTTGAATTTTGTGCCAAAATGAGATATTATTAATAATGTTATCATAGTACTTTAAATCTGTAAATCTCAAAATTTTAGGTGATAGAATGATGATGCAGAGGAGTGAATATGAATCAGTTTGAAATCAAAGGTAATAAAAATGGCACATGGTACTCTGTTCAAGGGATGGCCAAATACATTTTGGTCTTCTTGGTATAACCAGGTTAAAACCCATCCAATAGTTACAGACTCTAGAACCAAAAGGAAACAAAAACTGAGATTTGCCTAACCTAAACTTCTCTCCCACACATTGTCTGCAAATATCTGGGCTCAAACACACAGGAATAAAGGACTGTCCAGTGCAAATAGTCAAGTCCATTGATTTCCTTCATCTTGCTCCATTTAATATGATCTTCCTCCTGTGTTCTCCATCTGAGTAAAAAGAACGTTCATCACCCAGAAACCCCAGCTTCCCTGGATCCCCTCACCTAACCCACCTCCCAGTCCTGAGATTCTACCTCGCAAACCTTCTCTCCATCTCTTCTACTGTCCTTCCATCCCAGCCCACATGCTGTCCCATTCTGGTCTCCTGGGTCCCTTCTCATGACCCCTTTTCACCTATCTTCCCTGTAGCAAGAGGAATTTTTAGAATGTAAATCAGCTCATGTTACACCCCTGCTTAACATCTGTCCATATGCCCTCGTAAGAACGTCCAAGATCTTTAATATGGTCTTCATGTCCCTGCAATCTCAGGCTCTGATGGCTCCCTCAGAGTCATTGCCCACCGTGGTGGCCTCTCATGAATGTCCCCCATCCTGGGCTTTTTGAGTTCCTGAAGTCACCAAACACTCCTCTACCTGGGGACATTCAAATTGCTGCTCCCTGTCCCTGGAATGATCTTGCTTGGCTAAAGCCTGCCTGTCCTTCAGGTTTCCACTGAAATATATCTCAGAGCAGTTACTTTTCCTTTGTAGTCACCACAGTTGACATTACATGTACATGTGTGTCCACATGCATGTGTGTATAATTAACGTAGTTAAATTTTATTTATATACATATGCACACACACAGATGTATAATTTGTGTAGTGTGTGACAACAGTGTATCTGCTTCATCTTACTGTTGTATTTACCCAGCATAGAACATGCTTCCTGCTCTTTTTGAGTACTTAATACATTGTATCAAATCAGATGTAATTATTAGAAATGTATTCATATCTAATTATTAAAAAATAATTTATAGAAAACTTGGAATAGAACTATTTGACCCAGTTATCCCACTCATCTGTTTATACCCAAAGGATTTAAAATCAGCATACTACAGTGGCAAGGCCACTTCAATGTTTATAGCAGCTCAATTCACAATATCCAAGCTATGGAATCACACTAGGTGCCCTGCAACAGATGAACGGATGAAGAAAATGTGGTATATACACACAATGGAATATCACTCAGCCATAAAAAAGAATAAAATTATGGCATTTGCCAGTAAATGGATAGAACTAGAGAGTATCTTGCTAAGAGAAATAAGCCAATCTCCCAAAACCAAATGCAGAATGTTCTCTCTGATACGTGGATACTAACTCACAACAGAGGAGGGGAAGATTAGAAGTTCACTGGACTAGACAAAGGGAATGAGGGGAAGGGAGGGGGAATAGGAATTGAAAAGGCATTAGAATAAGTTGGACATATCTTTGTTATCCTTATATATGAATAAATGACCAATGTAATTATATATCATATACAACCATAAAACATGATCCTAAATGGAACAAGTTATACTTACTCTATGTGTGTATAATATATCAAAATACACTCTGTCATGTATATCTGGAAAGAACAAATAAAAAAAGAAAGTAAAAGAAAATAATTAATTTATAAATTGTGCATTAGTTGAAATGTATTTTACCAACCAAATACCATGTTAAGTGGTATCTTTTTTGTGCAAAACAGAATTGTGCTACATTAAAAAATATTGTCCTGGGGAGCCAAAGAATAAACACATGAATGAAGTACTCATCACTTATTTAAGCTAACTTTAACATTAACAGTGCATGCATAATTAAACTCACAGTCATGAGTTAAATAAATAAATGATTAGCTTGGGGACAGGATGGCCACCATGGGCGATATCATCTCCTTCACTGTTTGTTGGGTAGAGGACATTATCTAGTTGCTATAGTTCAGCTACATATGTTTCCTTAGTTGATGATGTGTGGAATAAGTAATAATGATGATTAAATAATGGTAATACATGAATATAAATTAAATTATTTCAATGCTTACCATGAATCAGCTTCATTTAAATCTTGCCAGATCTTTATTACAAGGTTACCCATTATCACCCTATTTTACAGGTTGGGAAACTGAGACTTGGAGAGCTTAAATGGTTTGTGATTCCAGGAGCTGGACATTGACCCCAGGTCTGTGACTGCAGTGTCATGGTTCCAAAGCCCTGTACCATGGCCAGTGTCACAAACATTTTCATGATCACCCACAAGGGGCATCAGGGTTGTAATGATAGACTTTCCCTTTCTTTTTCTTCTAAATAGTACACAGTAGAGTTCTTAACTCAGAACTTAATTGAAATAAAGAGCCATGTAGTTTGTTTATCATCAGTGACATTTTACTGATTATTTTCTTCATTCAATGAATACAAATGTTTTTTACACTGGTTTCAGCTGTAGCAACTCTGTTAAAATATCCAGTTTGTAAACCTGCAAGTTTCTTTAAAAAAGATGGCACGGACACTCCAGCATGCCACAGGGCTGTTTTGTATCCCCACCCGCCCATGACATGGGCGTTGGAGGACCCTCATCCAAGAAGTAGCAGGAGAAGGTGGGGGATTGGACCATATGACGGTTTATATTTCTTAATAAATCTTTACCACGACACTGGTTATTGGTTCTCATTTCCACCAACAAGGGAAGTGGGACAAGAATGTGCCCATGTCTTCTGTTGGCCAATGGATGCCAGCAGACACCTTTCATGTGGTTCATGTAAATATTACCATGGGGAAGGGTTCTGTGGGAGAATCACAAGTCAGCAGGGAGTCAAAGCTGTAGAAAATGAGAGAAAGGAGGATGGGAGGACAGGTGAAGCCAGAGCAGGCTGAATTTCACAGCCTTCCAGCATAGGCTGCCAGGGACAGGTCAAATCTCCATGAAGGAGCTAGGCTAGGTGGCCGATCCTTGCCCGTTCCAGATCCCCCTCCCAGGCAGGAGCTGTTGGAGCAGTCTCTATCTGGTTCTGGGAAAGCTTGTTCCTTGACATCTGCCCTGCTTCTCCTCCTCCCCTGCAGCATTCCTGCTGTCACGGTGAGAATGGTCCCTCACTGCAGTCAAACCAATGTGCCCCTCTCAGAGAGCATTGGTCTTGTGGCTCCTGATGGCCTGAAGTTGAACCCCCAAGGTACAGTCTTTGCATTTCAGCTGCGCAAACAGCCCCATGTGGCTGTTTGCATTCATGGTAGCTAATGCCCCAGCTCACCATATGGGAGTCAGGCTGACTGCTCCACTGTGCCTGCTCTGGGCTGTGTGTATGGCTGCCTTCCTTGGTGTTTGCTGATGGAGGGATCTTCGTCATGATCCTTTCCTTGTTCCTCTCTCCCTCAAGCATCCCCTGGCTTAAGGCTGGGAGCTGTCTCCTTGTGCTATACCAGGTGCTGTCTGTGACCTGCTGCAGGATCACAGTCCACACGGCACAGTGAGAGTGCACCCTATCAAGCCGCTGCACCCAAGGCTCCAGAGCATCTTGGCCATTCACAGCTTGGCACATGCCAAGTGGTCCTGAAACAAGATCTACAATTTCTGATTCAAACAAGCCTTCAGATACGGTAGTAACATTTTACTGATTATTTTCTTCATTGAATGAATACAATTTTTTTTTAACACAGGTTTCAGCTGTAGCAACTCTGTTAAAATATCTGGCTGTGAAAATCGAAGACAGTTTAAGGACTGTTGTAGGCATGCACTCAGCCCTTCAATCATGTGTTCAATACCTCGGAAAGTGACAGCAAATCAAGGATGAAATGAAACAGCAAACAGAGCAAAGGCAGGTTTCACGTATGGTGGCAGCTCTGTCACTTCAAGCTTCAGACAGACTGCTGGATTAAAATGCTGAGCGTGATGGATGATGCTTGCATGTCCCAGATGAATTGTTCGGGCTGCTGACATAGAGCATGCTTTTTGCACTACGTCTTCTAAGTCAAAAGAAAAAAAAATTAAGTGTAGGACAAAGTTGATCTCTATCCCCTGGGGACTTCCGTGCTCCAGGATATCCTTCTAAGAGCTCAGAGTCCAGGCACTCAATTCCCCAGTTGGTAGGAGGTGAAGAGCTCTCAGAGGGTGCCGGGGCATGGCCCTATTGCAGACTCCTCCATATGTCACCCCCAAACCTCAGAGGCTAACTCTGGCTCTTCCTATTTCCTGGCAGCCTCATTCACTACAGTCCCCTGCAGACAAACGCTCTTTCCGTCCCAACCTTCAATTCATCACTTTTCCTAAAGGTCTCCATGTGTTAGGCATTCATTTCCCCACCACAGCAGCATTTCCTGTTTCTATTTCTGGCTCTGGTTTCCATTCAGGTCCCCCTGAAGTGATTTCTGCTGGGAGAGGCCTTTCCAAGTCAGCCACTCCCCTCTCTGGTTCCAGGACTCTCCATGGGATCCCCTCCCCTGGCTGCTGAGAGGTGGCTCTGAGATCATATATCTTCACAGGCTGCCCGTTTGAAGTGCTGTTCTGGCATTCCTTGTTAAGTGGTTTCAGGGGATTAGTGTCACTCACCTCTTGTGCTTTTGCTGTGCCTCTAATTTAAAGAGCCACGAGGTAGAGCCACCTGTCTGTCCTCCACTTTATTTATTAATATATTCAGGCAGGGCTAATCCTTCTACTGGATTGGGACATTATTACCCAGTGGGGTCTCCCTCCTTGGGGGCTGACATCACAGCATCACCTAAGCTCAGTTACAGGGATGTGCCTGTGAGGAATGCTTGTCAAAAGATGGTACCTCACCGGGAAGGGTGGCGCACACCTGTAATCCCAGGGGCTCAGGAGGCTGAGGCAGGAGGACGACGAGTTCAAAGCCAGCCTCAACAAAAGCGAAGCACTAAGCAACTCAGTGAGACCCTGTCTCTGCATAAAATACAACATAGGGCTGGGGAGGTGGCTCAGTGGTCCAGTGCCCCTGAGTTCAATCCCCAGTACCCCCTGCCCTCCCCAAATAAGATGTGACCAGCTTTTCCCGTGCCTTCTGCTGACAGTAGCTTTGTAGCAGTGTGGATGCCATATGGTGATGTGTGAATTTCCTGGCACACTCCACGGCGGCCTGAAATAAGTCCTTGCATGTGGCCAGCTGGGTCAGTTGCCACAGAGACCAAATTACAGGAAGGATTTTCCCAGTCTATTTAAAAGCTGGAATTTATATCACTGGACAAGATAAATCATCTCCATTTATTGTTTTTTAGGAACAAGGTTAGGACCAGCAACAAGAGCCTACACACCAAATCCAGTTCACTGCCCTGTTTGTGTAAATAAAGTTTTATCAGGATCTAGCCATGCTCACTTGGTTACACATTGCATGTGGTTGCATTCACACTACAGTGGAGTTGAGTAGGTGCAATAGAGAACTTAGTGGCCTGCGGTACCCAAAGTATTTATCATCTGGCTCTTTTCAGGAAAAGTTTGCCAATTCTTGGACTATCTCATTGATTCTGAAGTTTGTTCCCTTATGACCACAGGTGTCATAATCCATTTTCTGTTGCTATAACAAAATATCTGAGGCTGAATGATTTATAAAAGAAAGAGTTTTATTTTGGCTCATAGTTCTGGAAGTCCAAGAGCATATGATTGGCTTCTGGTAGGCCACATGCTACTCTCTATGTGATGGAAAAATAAGGAGAAATAGGTGAGTAGAGAGGAGAAAAGGGGGTTAGAGAGAAAGGAGCTGGCTTCATTTTAAAACAATTTGCTCCCACAAGAGCTAACCCCATATCTCAAGAAAAACGTTAATCCATTCATGGATATTCTGATCCCATGACCCCGTCACCTCCCCAAAACCCCACCTCCCAACATTGCCACACTGGGACTCAAATTTCAACAGGAGTTTTGGTCGGGACACACCACCCCTAAACTACAGTAATAAGGAATCCCTCAGTGTTTGAATGAGGTCAGAGGATGTGATCTTTGCTTCAGTTCTAATGGTAATATATATGAAAAAGACTGATTGGTCTCAAAGAGACAAATAATCCCACATCCATAGCAGTAGCTTAAGAAAAAAATGCCAAACAACTTCTGATTCTTTTCCCAACATTATCTAAGGTTCATAGTATCAATGCTCCAGGTCTGGTGCTCTAAATTCAAGAGATTTTTTTTTTCTATTATATATTTGGTCCTGCTTGCCCTATCATCTATGGGTTTCTTCTTTTTGCCTTTCTTGATTTATTTTGAACTGAATTTTTTTCTCATTTCATTTTTCCTCCTACTCACTGGGGAGTTACACAGAACGTTTTCATACTATGTATTTGTCAAAGTCTGAAGTTAATCCATGTCTTTACAGCCTTCCTCCACAAGGTCTTTACAATACTTTAATTCTTTTCATAGTTGTCCCCCATTATATACAGGGGGTACATTCCAAGACCTTTCTGGGTACCTGAGACCTCAGATAGTACCAAAACCTATATGTACTATTTTTTTCTAGGTACATATATACAGACGATAATGTATGATTTCTATGTTAGGCATAGTAAAAGATTACAATGACTAATCAAATAGAACAACTATAACAATATATGGTAATAAAAGTGACATGGATGTGGTCTCTCAACCATTATGGGGCAGGTAGCATATACAGTATGGATACCCTGGACAAGGGATAATTCATGTTACAGGCAGTATAGAATGGAACAGCATGAGATTTCATCAGTGCTACTCAGAATGTCAGTTAAAATCTTATGAACCATTTATTTCTGTAACTGACACCATGGAAAGCAAAAATGTACACACATTGTGGAACTCTTATACCTCTCTCCCTACTTACTTTTAGTCATATTTTGTATTTTAGTTTTCCCTCTCTCTCTCTCTTTTTTTTTTTTTTTTGTGTGTGTGTTCTATTGCCTTTTGGTCATAGGCCTTGTTTCTTTGTAAATTTGGTGAATTTTCACTGTGGAACTTTAGCTGAAGGAATCTTTTGAAGCCTAGGTTGAAGGAGACAGGGAGTGGAAGTTCTCCAGGAAAAGTCTGCATTTGCTTCTGCTGTGCCTCAACTCCATGGTACTACTTCAAACTAATCCATAGGATTCAAGCTTTGGACAATTCTCACAGTGAAAAATTGGGCTGCACTCATGCTTGAGACCTGGTATATTATTACAAGTTCTAGGTGATTCTTTTCCTTTTCCCAAACCCAATCTTCAAAATGGAATGCTTCTCTAGATATCTCTGAGGTTGAATGGGGTTTATTTCCTGTTCTCCCTTACCCTGAGGATTCGCCATTTGAATAGACATGGGCTTTTTCTGCAAGGAAGGGGACAGAGGTGTCACTCTGGGCACACTGCAGACTCTGACACCTTCTCCTCATATCTTCAAAGGTATGGAAACTTAATGCTCATGTTCATTTTAGTTTGGCAAATGTTTTGGTTTGGAAAATACATGCTTCAGAGACCCCTTCCCTCTTTGGATTCCTGTTTATTGATAGACATTTTGAAAATGTCTATACACATTTTTTAAAAAAATATGATACCCAGAATCTTTAGTTGTTTTAAGTGGGATATTCACTCAGGTTTTGCATGGTGCTAGAGACAAAAGCCTGAGACTTTCTGAAAAGCTGCATCTTATGTCTCTAGCTTTTAAATACTTCATGTATGAATATAAAAAAAACAGTTTGGTGTGCATTTTTTTGT